TGCTGGAGAGAGGCGTTTTCCTTGAGGCCAAGGAACCATTTGCTGAATGCCTCTGAGCTGGCCCGGTCGCCGTCGGGGCCCACAAAAGAGCCTTCCACGCCAAGCTTTTCTGCCAACGAATCACGAGCTCGCAGCTCTTCCAGCTGCTTCATCCGCTCCGCCGACTTGACACCCCCCCTGGCGAGGAGCGCTTTGCTTCGTTCGTATTGCTCGATCTTGCGCCGCTTCTTCGGCCTCTCCTCCATCGTTCCATCCTCTTTCTCCTCCACGGTCTTGCCGATCAACGCGCCCTGGGCTTTGTCGAAGATGAGTTGGCGGTGGACCTCCATGTCCAGTGCGTGGCCAACGCCTGACGACACTTTGACGTTTTCAAAGTCGGCCGCGATGGCGTCGAGAAATGCAATCCTCTCGTCTTGCGTTTGGGGCGGTTTGGTGGTGGCTGCGCGGTCTTCAGTGAGGCGGTTGAGAGCGAGTGAAAGGGCGTGCACGTAAAGGAACCGTCTTCGGTCGTACTTCGCATGAGTCTGCCGGTAGTACATGCTTCCAGCATACCCTTTAACCAGAGCGTTGGCGAAGTCTTGATCACCAGGACCAAAGATGACCTTTTGCAAGGTCCCTGCCCTTTGCCGCAACCCTCTATCCTTGGGCACGTTGATTTCTTGAGATATGTAGGCATTATCGAGGATGTCGACGTCGATTGCCTTCATTGCTTGAGCTCCTTGCAGTGATGGATTGAGAGCGTCGCGCAGAGCTTGAGGAAGAGTACACAGGGTATGGTGACGAAGCAAGTATGAAACCTCCGAGCTCCAGGTATGGATCGCGTATGGTCGGACCCTCCGGAGGTATAAACCGAGGATGAGCGCGGACAACGCCCACTTGTTGCGCAACTTTGGAAATCTCCAAAAGTCGATCACCGGCCCATCAAAAGCGCGGATTATCTCATCATCCGGCTCTTCTCCGGTATCCATATGATCTATGACCCTGAGGATCTTGCGATACGTCGTCACCGCGCGGCCAGCCTCATTCGAGGTCAAGGAAGAGTTGATTTGGCCAGTTCCAACCTCCTGAGGAACCCACTCGAGAATATTGACGTGTGTCACGGCACCGTTGATACACCGGATACGGTCGGCAAATTCGTGTTTGACAAAGTCGGTCACGCTATTTCCAAACACCCCACCAAAGTTGGGTATGGTTTGAAACTTTTGCATCAAAACTTGCTCGTGTTCGACCATCTCATAGAGCTCCTTCTGAAGATCAGCTGGAGGAGGTTTGGGCACCTGGGCCTTTGGCAATAGCTTGAGCATATCCGCAAGCGGCTTGGCGATTGAGGGATGGGGATCAATATCGGGCACCCAGCCACCGCGGGCCTTGTTGAAGTTGAGAACCGTGCTGTCAATCAAGACGGCCTCGATGTCTCCCAGATCCTGCGTGCGACGCCAGTCAAGGCGGTCGGAGATTGGACACGTGAGGGTGTCCCAACGGATGATGGTCCAGTTGAGGTCCTCGTTCAATTGCAGAAAATTCTTCATCCGGCTCGTTGTCGTACCAGAATGATGGTCCTGAGCGTCTCGCTTGTGGACCGCCTGCGTTGTCGTCCCCGAATAGGAGGGTTTGAGAGAGAGGAAAGTACCCTCGACGGACTGGTACAGATGGACATTCACATCCTTGTAGCCGAATGCCTGCATCACGGAAGTGAGCAGCACAGACGCCCTCTGCCCGTAGCCAAGGTACTGTAGCTGCAATATGACGAAAGGAAGTTCGTCTGGGAAAGCCTTTCCGAATTGCTCGAGGCGACGAGCATACTCTTCTGGCTCGATGTCGAGAATTCTTGTATAATAATATTGAAACAGACCGTCGTCCTGCTGGTTCTTTTCGGAAGAAATTGAAAGAAGGCCGCTTTTGGCGTAAGTGGGGAGATTCTTGAGAAATGATTCTGGGACACAAGGGCAGCTTCAAGGATCAGATCTTCTATGGGCGCGAAGCGAGACCATATGGTCGGATTTAGAGAGGGTGGCGTGCATTCGTGGCTTTCACTTGCAAAGATTGCTGCCGCTTTAATGCGCTCCAATGGAGAAACGCCTTGATCCATCAAAAGTTTTCGAACTCCTTCAGAAATTCGGAGTTGCTCCAAGTAACCAGAGCTGAGATGAAACGAAATAGCATCACTCGTAGAGATGGATTCGGGGGCTGCATTTAAGAGTGCTTCCTCGACGGAAACGTGCTGAGCAAAGAGCTCGTCGAAGTTTAGGTTTGAAGAGGATCCCATTCCGCAAAGCAGCTTTCAGCGGGTTAGCATTGGCTTTATCCTGAGCTGCTGTAACGTACCGACTTTGTAACTAAGAATCTGCGTTCTACCTGGGTTTCTGGAGTGGGTTTCTGGTAAATAAGCATGAAATAGGGTCCTGAAATGCTGCTCACCAAAGCTGACGAGGCTGCGGAACCCTGTGGCAGATGGCGAGGGCGAGTGGCGACAACACTCCGAGTTCCTCCGACCTTTTTTCGAGCAAATAACTCTACTATGGTAGAAATACGCTGGTTTTATGGGCCGTAGCCGGTGCTTTGAGAGAATCAAAGGAGTGGGCGACGGCAAGTCGAGAAGGGATGAGGAGCTGATGGAATGTAAAATCTAACCAACCACAAATACAGACAATTCACGGCTCTATATACGCTTTACAACTTCCCCGTGGCTCTGAATACTGATGTCGACTAGCATACGGGTAGTAGAAGGGGTTTCATATTCCAGAACAGGATTGAATGGGATTGAAAGTGACAATGGAATTGTAAAATTGTGATTGGAGAAGTTGCGAACGCGGTAAAGGGACCAAGGCAGACTTGGGGGAACAGGCGCCATTGGAAGCTTGCCCTGTGCAGATGATTATCACCCCATGTGTTGCCTCCCGTATTCTAGTATCTGAGGCTTCTCCACTCATTCTTCATCTGCGTGGTATGGAACTGCTTGGCTATGGGCGTTACGGGTGGTCCAGGTGCTGGTATAGGACTGCCTGAGGTGTTGCGAGCGGTCCAGGGTCGATTCCCGCAAGATCAGTCAAAATTCGTACGAATAACTAATACGATTGAGCTCTTTCACCACTTTTCAGGTGGATTTAATACATACCTCGAGTCTCGGGATCCGATGTTGGAGGGGAGCCACTCTCCTCTCTGGTGGCGTCTGTTACCCATCACACTGACATTCAACCCTCCATTCTATAGTTTCAATACTTCAATAAATGATCCCAACGGGAGACCTAGTCGTCTGCGCAGTGGTCCAAGAATCATTTGAAGAGCCTGCAACCCATTTCCCACAGCCATCGCTTGGCTGAGTGTGATATAGGTTCGCCGAGTTGTAATATATCCTGTCTTTTAAAGATATTCAGGTCGAGGAGGACAGGAGAGTGAATGGACTCGCCTTTCGCCTTTCAAGATTGGTGCCAGTTATGGGTTACCTGTAGAAGAAGTTATTGAGGCTATTTTCACTGTATAAAATGAGGTATCATGACGCCGCTGTTTGGTCTGTTTGATTGACTAGGTATTGGAGTTGGGTGCAAGAAAGGTGGTGGGTACCAGCCTCCTTCGTTGACATCTCACTTCGACTCGA